CCTGATACATCTTTGTAGCTCCCGGATGAACTGTGAAATGACCCTTATGGGCCTCTATCATCACTTCCTCCGCCAACTGCCTAGGTACAACAACACGACCCTGATATAATAGTATACCCTCATCATTGCAGGATACACCACTCTGACCTTTTAGTCGTTTAGCACTTTCATTTTGCAGCTGGGCTTCTTTGATTCTGGTCATCAGTTCATTCTCAATGCTCGTGATTTCAAAGCCACAAATTTTACATGGAAAGATTTTAGATAATTGAATATCTCTGAACCTCTCTATCACATCATAATCTCTAATCATCATGCTTGATATGCTCACAGATTTACGGCTCAGTGCATCAGCTACAACATTAGCCTTGCCAGGATGATATTTCAATTCAAAATCATAGTCTTTTAGGAACTCGGTCCACCGTCGTTGTCTCATATTCAGCTCCTTCTGATCAAACAAGTATTTCAAACTCTTGTGATCGCTGAATATTGCAAATTGCATTCCATACAAGAAATGCCTCCACTGTTTCAACCCAAAAACAATTGCAGCAAGCTCAAGGTCATGGGTTGGATAATTTTCTTCATGCGGTTTCAATTGCCTCGATGCATAAGCTACCACTCGCCTATCCTGCATCAGCACACATCCCAATCCCTTCTTGGAAGCATCACTGTATAGCTCAAATTCACCTTCCGGGTCGGGAAGTACTAACACCGGAGCGGTCGTCAGTTTCTCCTTAAGGCTCTGAAAGCATTCTTCACATTCTTGTGTCCAAACAAATGGAGTATCCTTCCGGGTCAAACGGGTCAATGGCAACACCATGGCTGAAAATTCTTTAATGAATCTCCGGTAATAACCAGCCAAACCCAGAAAACTTCTTATTTCTGTTACTGTCTTGGGTCTCTCCCAATCAACAACTGCCTCTATCTTGCTAGGATCAACCGCTACTCCCTCAGCAGAGATAACGTGACCCAGAAATTGCACTTGAGAAAGCCAAAACTCACATTTAGAAGGCTTTGCATATAACTGTTTCTCTCTGAGAATTTGCAACACAGTTCTCAAGTGACCTTCATGCTCTTCCTTACTCTTCGAATATATCAGGATATCATCAATAAACACAATCACGAATTGATCCAGAAACGGCTTAAATATGCGATTCATGTAATCCATAAACACCGCAGGAGCATTAGTGAGTCCAAATGGAATTACTTGATACTCATAATGTCCATATCTAGATCGGAAGGCAGTCTTCGGAATATCTTCCTGCCTAATTCGGATTTGATGATAACCCGACCTCAAATCAATCTTTGAGAAAACACAAGCACCCCTCAACTGATCAAGCAAATCATCTATGCGAGGGAGAGGATACTTGTTCTTAATGGTAACCTTATTCAGCTGACGGTAATCAGTGCACAATCTCATGCTACCGTCCTTCTTCTTAACAAATATGACTGGTGCTCCCCACGGGGACACACTAGGCCGAATAAACTGCTTAGCCGAAAGCTCTTCAATATGCTTCTTTAACTCGGCTAATTCCGGTGGTGACATCCTATACGGAGCCAGAGAGATAGGCCCCACACCAGGCAACAGATCAATCGTGAACTCAATCTCTCTATGAGGCGGAAGTTGTGGAATTTCATCTGGAAACACATCCACAAACTCCCTCACCACGGAAATAGTGCCAATCTCCTCATGACTTTCGCCTACTAAACCCCCCACAAAGACATATCCCAATGCCCCGGCCCTCAAAGCCTTTCTAACCTGCAACACAGATAGATATGGGGAAGAACTAGTAGCAGAATCATCAGCATCAAGCACAATCCTTTTACCGCAGCAGTCTATCATAGCACAGTTCTTTGACAACCAGTCCATACCCAAGATAACTTGAAGGCTGATCATAGGTAAACAAATAAAATCCAGCACGTAATCTCGGCCTTCATATTTGAACTCAACATCTTTACACAACACGGATGTATAACACTCATCTCCAGTAGCAGTAACCACTTTCATTGGAGGGCGAATGTCATACATTTGCAAATTTAGCCCAACGGCCATAAAATCAGACATACAGGAGTGTGTAGCTCCTGAATCAAACAACACTTCAACATCCATATTATCAATGTAAATTGTACCTTTCACTAGATTCGGAGCCTTCTCCGATTGCTGACGGTCCATGGTATATACTCTACCAACCGTCTGAGACTCTAGCATAGGTTGAACAACAGAGACCGGAACAGCAGTAGCTTGAACTGCCATAGTCCTTGCTTCGTTCTGAGGACACTGCCTGGAGTAGTGACCGGATCTTCCACATTTAAAGCAAATCACCTCACCAGTAGCACATGGACCTCTATGCTCTTTGCCACATCCCTTGCACTTGGGAGGAGGTCCTCTATCAACAAACTTCTTCTGAGTACCGGGTCTTTTGAACAAGTCAAAGGGCTTATTCGCATTCAGCTTCTTGCCTTGCACCTTCCTGTTCTTCCAATAACCTGAGCCCGTTGCTTTATTGGAACTAGGTGCCTGGGCCTCAGAAGACTTCTTGGCTTGGGACACCTTATACACTTCTTCCACCTTTCTACACTGGTTTACAAACCGACTGAACTCTCGGATGTCACAATTTGACATCTTCCGAGACATCTTCTCATTAAGACCCCATTGGAACTTGGAGGTCATTTCAGCCGGGGTGGGTAGGGCTCGCCCATAGTTGGCGTATTTCACCAACTCATTGAATTTTGAGAAGTATTGGTCAATAGACATCGACCCTTGCTTGAGATCGTTGTACTCATTCTGCTTTTGTTCCCTAGCCTCTCTAGGGAAGTAGTTATCCAAGAATAATGTCTCGAATAACCGCCATGTGATCTCCCGACCTTCAGCTTCTAATGGCTGCACGGTATTTGTCCACCAATCTTCTGCTTCCTCTTCCAGCATATAAACAGAGTAAGCCAACTTCATTGCGTCAGGGCACCTCATCACCCTGAATATCTTCTCCATAGCTTGGAGCCATTTTGCAGCCGCCATTGGCTCATAACCTCCCTTAAAAGAAGGAGGTTTATGTTTTGGAAAGCCATCAATCTCCTTTCCTCCATTTCATGATCACCGACATTTTCAACTTGAGGTTGACGAACCTCGGTGTGATGACTCAGACTCCCAGAGTGGTGACTACCTTCACCCTCATTGTTACCCACTCCACCCTCTTCCTGTGACGGAGGTGGAGAAGGCGTAGCAGTGTGAGGAGGAGGAGTGGGTTGCCGGTTCACGGGCCTAGGACCCCTCAACGTCCTCAGCTCGGTCATCATCGCGGCCATAGCAGTCCGCGAGTCTTCATTTGTCTTTAACAAATTTTCATTGGCTTGCCTGCTAGCAGCCAACTCTCTCTGAACGGCTGCAAGAGCTTCAGCCACGGGATCAGGCGGTACGCCCGTTGCCCCACGGCCACTTCTAGGCCTCACAAGAGCAGCCAAAACAGGTTCTGGCTGAGCATTGGTGTTTGATGGTCCGGGGTTGTTTCGGTTCCTCGTCATTTCACTACACATGTTACACAAAGAAGTGAGTTGATCAGGCCCACACTTAGTGATCACAAATGCAATAATCATACAGAGTACTAAAACAACTATAAAGCATCAAACACAAGCATACTCAACAATAGCTACAGTTATTCCCTACGAAACTGCTCTGATACCATAAAATGTGACACCCCGTTCTAGAACCGGTTTGTTAACATCGCATTATGATATTAAGCGCAGTTACAATCACCTGGGTTCAATTAAAATCCGGATAAATTTTTCATTTTAAAACGTACCGAACTTATAATACCCAATTTCGTGATCATAACCATATTACCTTGCGGAAACAGATAAATTAAGCTTAACATCATGTTCATTTCCCGTTTTTAAACCATTAATTTACTTCTTGTTTAGTTCAATACTTCTACTATATTGTAGGTTTCTTCATTAGCTACCTGTGGCTTCAAACCGTGCTCAAATCGGAGCACTGCAGTCCAAGTTAGGACAATTTGAAGCAACACAAGAGAGTGTTGGTCACAGGCCCAGCGCGCTTCAGCGCGCTACCGGGCGCTCAAGCGCGCGCTATCGGGCGCTAAAGCCTCCATCTGGGCGCTTAAGCGCACGGAGGCAGTAAGCATTAGCATTTCCAGTGTGGATGGGCGCTTAAGCGCGCAACAGGGCGCTCAGGCGCGCTAGCCTGGGCGCTCAAGCTCCCACGGGGACGTTTTAGCGCGCAGAGACAGAAGCATCTCCTCCTTCAGTGGCGAAGGGCGCTTAAGCGCGGACCAGGGCGCTCAAGCGCGCAACCCTGGGCGCTTAAGCCCCACCCTGGGCGCTAAAATACGAGGGGGCAGTAAGCCACCCAACTTTCTGCAGCAAGGGGCGCTTAAGCGCACGCCAGGGCGCTCCAGCGCGCAATCCTGGGCGCTTAAGCCCCCACTTGGGCGCTCCAGCGCGAGGAGGCAGAATGCATTGGCACTCGCAGGGGCAGCAGGGCGCTTGGGCGCGCTCCTGGGCGCTTAAGCGCGCTGCCAGGGAATTCCAATTCCCACATTTCTCAAGTCCAAGCCTAGGGGAAAATGCATCCCCATTACAAACCACAAATGTCCATGCCCCAAAACTAAATCCTAGCACTCATCCAACCTCTCCTCATGAGATTTAGCTAGAATTTGGGCAGCATGACCTTTGTTTTCTCATCGTTTACCAGTTTAAACGAAGAGGGTACCTAATTGATTTTCAGCCCAACCAATTCAACAACTCAATACATAACAAGCATGCATATATTGAATTCCAAGTAGGCATCATTTACATTACATATCCTTTACAAATCATAGAACTTAGCTTACAAAACACTATGATCATTCCCTTGGCCCCCATCAACAAAAGGTGTAACCAAAGGCATGAGCATAACAAGCATGCATATGTTGCTGCCAAGTGGATTGATCACCTCCTATAAGGCCCCAATGTGGCATGGTGGTAAGGTGGAATTGCTCCATACTACAATGTCAGAGGGAGAATATGGTGATGCCATCATTCAAGGAGGGGTGTCTTTAAACTTCAATTTTCAAACTGATGATGGTGAAGTTTCATGGTCTCCAACTAATTGGGTTCTGCATGATATTAAAGGAGCTGCTGAGGAATCCATTCAGGTCTGTTATCCTGTGCGTAAATTAGTAGGGTGTATTATAAAAAGACAAATAACTCTTCTAAAATAGTTGAGCTTCACAGTTGAACAACAGAATGTTAACATGCATGACACAACACTGATTCAGTAGAAATGGTACGTAAAAATCAATTAAATACATCTCAAAATCCAGCTATCCTTACTTTTTGTATTATACTTCTTTGTACAGTTCCCATGTACCCTTAAAAAATAAACAAATTAAAGCCTTTAATGAATCAAAAGGGACACAAGATAAAAGAAATAATGTTACTCGTAGGCTGATATCAATTGATTCCTCAAGGCCTAGAACATGACTAAAAAACAAATGCTTATAGAAATTCAGGTTACGTAGCCCTCCTATTATTTTGGAAAAAATCACAAACCATAGCAAACTCAATACAACATCCACACTTTCACACATTAATTTTAAAAAATGGCATTACATAAACAATCTTGAGTCTGATATTTTTTTTAATAAAGCAACAACTCAATAAATGACTTTTCACCTTATGTAATAGTTAAATTTGCTCCATCCCCAATTTGCTCTTGTTGTGCCTTTCCGGTTCAAAACCAAAATTTTGGCAGCAGGATGCTGAACTTCCAAGTTCGTTTACAATTGTAGCAGCATCATTCATGACAAAAAGCTTGTCCAAATGATTTATAACCATCTTATTCATACCTGATGATGCAGAGCAAATAAGACCTTAAGACCACTAACAACATTCTAAATCTAGCAAAACCACTTCATCCGCAAATCCTTGTTAGTTTGTGAAGGACAGTGGTGAAAAGCTTCCGTGACTCATTTATCCCTCTTAATGAGGAAAAATCAATTCATCCAAGTCCTCTCACTCTTATTTTAAATGGGGACTTCAACAACAGAGAATTGAATGACGTAAAAAAAAAATAAAAATAACTAGAGTTATACTTATAGGGACCTACTGGAGCGGTGCGAAGCAAACAAAAGTGGATATCTGCAGCACTTAACGGTGGCTTACTAAACCCCTCTCCTTTTTTTTATAATAAACACCGTCAGATTTGAGCACAATATTTTACGGACGAAGGATGGTACGAACTAGACGGTCACTTCTACAACGGTAATGAAGAAGTGTCATCTTCCTCGGTGGAGTTATTTATCAAATTAATAATATACAATAATATCAATATTTTTCACTCATGCTTGGACTCCAACCAAAAACAAATGATTTTGTTCGCTCAAGCTTGGATTGGATGCCTCATTCCGCGACGATGTCCGCTTCCCTGCTCAAAGCTCGCTTTGTTGAAGTCGAACGAGTAGGAAAGAGAATCACTTTGTTTCAACAGGGTTATTTTCGACAACAAATTCGCGTCCATTTTTTTCCTTTCCCGTAACCACATGCGATCTGGTTAAATTACACGGTGAAAAGGATGACAGTTTTCACACAAATTACAATCGCTGGGTAAAGACGATGACAGGTTAAATTTTTGGGACACCTCTACCAAATATGTCAAAACCCATTTTCATTTGCACGGATAATTAAGAGAAAAAATCCTACCAAAAATATAATATATGAGCATTATAAAAAAGTTTAAGCCAAACATGATAAAGCTCGAAATCCATTCTCATTTGCAGAGCTAATTAGGAGAAAAACTCCTACCAAAAATATAATATATGAATATGAGCATTATAAAAAAAATTTAGCGTGTCTCTTACGCACGATAGATTTTGAATTGTCAACCCAACTTTCGTGCAAAGTAAGCCACATGGAGGTGTGGGAAAAATGAAAACTGTGAATTGAAAATTCTAACTCAATTACTAGAAAGCGTCATCGGAGAGGCTACCAAGAAAGAAACAACAACGCCTAAGAAGCAATTACAATCATTATATATAATATTTATAAATAGGAAGACGCGTTTTCCTTACGCGCAAGTCGCAACCGAACTTCACCGCATAGGAAGCAGAGGCATTCAGATATGTCTTCTTCACCAACTCCCAGACCAGAATACACTAAAATCTAAGGTTGATTTATGTTTGTCCTTGCATTGAAGCTTCACAGTAATACTAATAGTAATAGTGTACACATTATAGATCATCCTTTTTTCAATTGTGATGGCTTCATCATCCTCAACAAGCAGTGCTTCATCTTCAACGACATCGAAATATGATGTGTTTGTGAGCTTCAGAGGTGAAGACACACGCTACAACTTCACTGATCATCTTTTTGCTGCTCTTCAAAGAAAAGGCATTGTTGCCTTCAGAGATGATACAAAGCTCAATAAAGGCAAATCCATAGCACCTGAGCTCTTCCAAGCAATTGAATGGTCTCAAATTTTCATTATTGTCTTCTCAAAGAACTATGCTTCATCAACATGGTGCTTGCGAGAATCAGCAAAAATCCTCGATTGTTTTCAAGTATCAGGAAAATGTATTCTGCCTATTTTCTATGACGTTGATCCATCTGAGGTGAGAAAACAAAGTGGGGGTTACGAGAAAGCCTTTGCTGATCATGAAGAAAGATTCAAAGAAGATTCAGAGATGATGGAGGAAGTGAAACGATGGAGAAGTGCTCTGAAAGAAATAGCCAATCTCTCTGGGTGGGATGTACGGTATGAGTAAGTGATCTTCTCTGATGCTCATGGTTTATTCCTGTGCCAACAACTTGATTAAGTAAATTTAAGATCTTAATTTGTGCAACACTTGATATTGTTTTTCTCTTGTTGATTTGGTGTTTATGGATTTATTGCCCCTTCCCAAACTGGAGTTGAGAGAGTAATGAAAAGAGCTTTACAAAAGTTTACCAAAAAGAAAAAAAAGAAAAGAAGCATATTTTGTTCTCTGTCCTGTATTTATACTTTTGTTTTCGTTTTCGTTTTGGTTTTGTTAGGCGTTGACATGCTATTCTTGAATTTCAGGCCACAAAGTGCAAAGATCGAAAATATTGTCAAAAAAATAATAAGTATATTGGATGAGAAAATTTCAAGTATGCCAGATGATTTAGTTGGGGTAGAATCTCCTATTGAAGAATTGGAAAAGCTTTTACTTTTGAGGTCGGTTGATGATGTTCGGGTTGTAGGAATTTTTGGAATGGGAGGAATAGGAAAGACAACTCTTGCTACGGTTTTATGGGATAAAATCTCTCATCAATTTGATGCTCGTTGTTTTATTGCTGATGTTTGCAAGTCTGATCCAATTGATGCACAAAAGCAACTTCTACGGGAAGCTCTGAATGAAGAAAATCTTCATATATTCAATCCTTCTATGGCAGCTAATTTGATACGACATAGGTTATGTCATGTGAGAGTGCTTTTAGTTCTTGATAATGTTGATCGAGTTGAACATTTGGAGAAATTAGGTGTGAATCGTAAATGGTTAGGTACAGGGAGTAAAATCATCATAACTTCTAGAGACTTGCATATTTTGAGAGAGTATGGAGTGGATGACGTTTATACCGTTAAACTTTTGAATGCAGACAATGCTCTTCAATTATTTAGTAGAAAAGCTTTCAAATGTGATAACATTGGGAGAGATTATGAAGTCTTATCATATGATGTACTAGAATATGCAAAGGGCCTTCCGCTGGCAATTAAAGTATTGGGCTCATTTTTGTATGGTAGAGAAGTCCATGAGTGGAGAAGTGCATTGGCTAGATTGAAAGAAAATCCAAGTAGAGATATCATGGATGTGCTCCGACTTAGTTACGATGGGCTGGAAGAAATGGAAAAAGAAATATTCCTAGATATTTCCTGTTTCTTCAATGGGTATAGGCACTTTGAAGTTGAGAATGTTCTACATTGCCGTGGATTTCATCCAAGCATTGGAGTTAAAGTTCTCGTTGATAAATCACTCCTAACCATTCTGCCTTCTTACTCTAATTTCCCTTATATTAAAATGCACGATTTGTTAGAAGAGCTGGGTAAAAAAATAATTCGAGAAAATTCACCCGGAGAGCCTAGAAAGTGGAGCAGGCTATGGTTCTACAAAGATTTACGCAATGTTATGTTCGAGGAGGAAATGGTAAAGAAGTTGATTAAGAAAAATTATATTTCCATTTTTATAGAAGTTATATACAATTAAGTTATTTAAGTTTTTCATTCTTTTATGTAATTGTTTAGGAAAATAACGTTAAAGCCGTAGTCTTGAATAGTCCAGAAGAAACTCGAAGATTGAAGGCTCAAAGATTGTCAAAATTGAGTCACCTTAGATTGCTCATACTACGTGGTGTAAAATTTTCGGGCAGCCTCAAATGTCTTTCTAATAAATTGCGATATATTGAGTGGGATGAATATCCTTTCCAGTATTTGCCATCAAGTTTTCAACCGGAGGATCCTGTTCATTTGATCTTAAAGCGCAGTAGCATCAAACAATTATGGGCAGGAAAGAAGGTACTATAAATTATCTTTTTCATTTTGCATTAAGAAATATAAATTCTTTATCCAATTTTTTGTTTAGAGTAATTATCTTCATTCCTGTTTTGTCTTTACAGTATATGCCCAATTTGATAAGTCTGGATCTTAGGCATTCCAAAAATCTAATAAAGATGCCAAATTTTGGAGAGGTCCCAAATCTTGAGAAGCTGAATCTTGAAGGATGTATAAAACTTGTGGAGATCGATCCATCCATTGGTCTTCTAAGAAAGCTTGCTCACTTGAATTTGACAGACTGCAAAAATCTAGTAAGTATACCCAACAACATTGTGGGTCTCACTTCTCTTGAACGTCTATATCTCTCCGGCTGTTCAAAAATGGTTAATAAACAGCTAAGGGAGCATTTGAAGAAGTTTGATATAAGTAGTGAAACTGCCATGCACTCCCAATCAACATCCTTCAAAAGGTTTTTGTTCCCTTTCCGTTCATTGTATTCTACGACACTTAAAGCTTCAGCTACTTGTTTGTTGCCTTCCTTGCCTAGCTTCTCTTGTATGACAATTCTTGATCTAAGTTTCTGCGATCTGCAACAACTACCTGATGGTATTGGAAGTTTACATAGCTTAGAATCGCTTAGATTAGAGGGAAACAAGTTTGTTACACTGACTTGTAGCCTGAAGGAGCTTTCAAGACTTGTTGAGTTAACATTGTCACACTGCAAGCAGTTGAAATCTTTGCCTGAGCTCCCTTCACGTACGGACATGAATGAGCAGTTGAGAGTCCGATTGTTACAGGCTTTCAACTGCCCAAATTTGGAAGAGAGGGAACGCTGCAGTACCATGATTTTTCCATGGATGGCACAAGTCATTGAGGTTCACACTCTTTTCCTTCCTTCCTTCCTTCCTTCTCACATCTCTATTTCCCTCTCTCTCCATCTCTTCATCTCTCTATCTTAAGATATAGCTTTGTTCATGTTATCAGGCGAGGCAGAAACCATCTGTGGGCATGTGTTGGATTGATATTGTTATTCCGGGAAGTGAAATACCAAAGTGGTTCAGCAATCAGAGTGTGGGTAGTTCGATAAACATAGACCCATCTCCCATTATGCATCACAATAATTGGATTGGCTTTGCTTGCTGTGCAGTGTTTGTGTCACGTTATGATCCAATTACTTTGACAAATGAACGGAAGCCTCGTTTAGAAATCTGTATTACATATAAAGCGGATCAGATCATACCTGGCCGCTCTTACTGCAGTTTCAATGGAGATCTGGTAACGGTCGAATCAGATCATATCTGGCTATTCTATTTCCCTTGGGACCATGCAATTGATTTTATGGGTCGGGTATCTCGCAAAAACGGCGAGCAGCGTGATCTTGAAGATATCAAGATGGAGGTTCGGGTTAGTGGCGGCAGTGGTTTGAAGTTGGAGTTTAAAAATTGTGGGTACCATTGGATATCTGAGAAGGACCTGGAACAATTTAAGAATATGCACAGTGCTGATTCCTCAATTGGAAAAGTCGGGTTTTAAGGAATTGATGATTAGCCACAGCGATAATCATTGTGCTATTAACGAAGAGCAATGACAACTGCATTTGGGCTGCATTTAGAGTAAGGTGAGAAGAAATGTTCATAACTTTTATTTTATTTTTTATTTTTTTGGTAAAAAATAAGTGGACTAGCTGATTAGTGATTTGAATGCCATTCGGTCTCCAAATTTATGAAACTCACTTCAATTTGATCCTTCTTTTCATCCTCTTTAACCTAGTTTAATTGTGATTCCAATCAACCATCCTAATAAGAAGCCAGAGACAGATTTGCGTACGTTGTGTCATCCATAAAGGTGTCAAAATGGGTTGACACGACACAAATTTGACGTGATACGAATACCTTAACACGAACACGACACAAATTTTTATTCGTGTCAAAATTTTCAACACGAACAAGACACGATTTTTTTGCGGGTTGACACAACATGACACGAATGACACGCAAAATAGGGGTCGATAATTTATTTTTTTTAAAAAAGGGTCAAAATAAGAAAAAAATTAAAAAAATAATAAAAAATCTGGGTCAATACGACACGAATTTTTTACGTGTCATTTTTTCTAACACGAATACGACACAATTTTTTTACGAGTCAATCCGAACATGAATTTTGATGTCGTGTCGTAGGTCGGCCTGCATATCATAACCTATATTGACATCCCTAGTCATCTACTCGAGGAAAACTTTGTCAATATATCAGATGTACCTGTACATTCTCTTTTTAAATAGGGATTTTTTATTTATTTATATCCTTTCTTTTCTTTATTATTCCCACTACATTTCAAAAAAATTTCCCTCTAATGCATCCAAGGTTTTTTTCTACTCGAAAGTGAGTGTAAAAAATAGTATTTTATGTATCTTATTTATCAAGATAGTGACATTTTAACATATACAACACAATTTAAGTCGGTGCACCAGTCTATCAGTCACAATGGTAGGGGTGAGGGTTGTAAGTAGTCTTATTTTTGTATTTTTGCAAAAAGAACAATAATCAAATCTAATTAACAAAAATTAAAATTGATTCTATTTAATACCTTAGATTGAGGAATTTGATATTTTTCCTAAAATATAAAATTAAAATTAAAATTTGATATTCTTATATTGAACAATATACACTAGTCTTATTCTTGTATTTCTTGCAAAAAGAACAATAATCAAATCTAATTGACAAATTAAAATTGATTCTATTTAATACTTTAGATTGACAAATTTGATATTTTTCCTACAATGATATATTGAACCATATGAATGTTCCATAAAACTTTTAAAATAAGCAAGTGAGAAAGTGTGAGAATTCTTGTGTAGAATTCAATGGTTATGATTAAGAAGTTAATTAGTTGAAAAAGAATAGACATAGGAAATGTGAAGGGTGTGGAATATGAAAGTCTCACATTGGACAATATGAGTTGTAACACCCCGTTCTAGAACCGGTTTGTTAACATCGCATTATGATATTAAGCGCAGTTACAATCACATGGGTTCAATTAAAATCCGGTTAAATTTTTCATTTTAAAACATGCCGAATTTATAATGCCCAATTGCGTGATCATAACCATATTACTTTGCGGAATCAGATAAACCAAGCTTAACATCATGTTCTTATTCCATTTTTAAACCATCAATTTACTTCTTATTTATTTCCAAACTTCTACTATATTGTAGATTTCTTCGTCAGCTACGCGTGGTTTCAAACCGCTCCTCATTTGGAGCTCTGTAGCTCAAGTTATGACAATTTTACTAACTCAGGTGTATGCTGAAAAACTACGCGGGCAGGGCGCTTAAGCTCGCTCCAGGGCGCTTAAGCGCCCACAGACAGAGGGAATTTACATTTTTTAGCCACCAAGGGCGCTTAAGCTCGCTCCAGGGCGCTTAAGCGCGCTACCTGGGCGCTTAAGCCCCCATTTTGGGCGCTAAAGCCCCATGCGGCAGAAAGCTTTTGGTCTTCACAGGTGCATCAGGGCGCTTAAGCCCCCTCATGGGCGCTTAAGCCCCCTGAGCAGGCTTAAGCCTCCATTTGCAGGCTTAAGCCCCCTCTTCTGGGCAATTTCCTATACTCATATTTTTCATGCATCTTTCTTGGGGAATCAATCCTACACATTTTACAACCTATTTAACAAGCTTGTGATATCCCTATATCATTGCTCAACTCTCATCCTCTCATCATTGATTTAACGGAAATTGGGCAGCATAATCTTTGTTTTCTCAACGTTTCCCAACTTAGCACAAGGTACCTAATTGACTTTCCAGCTCAACATATCCAATACATAAAAATACATTCATGCATTTAACTTACAGTAAGCATCATACACCAATATCTTCATTACTTACAATATTACATCATGTCTTAATTACAAATCTCATATACATGCCAAAGGACTTAGCTACAAAATGAACATGATCAAAGCAAGTAACCCTGTATCAGATACCCATTACTACTACAATGATCATGCACTAAGTCCTCCAAAATACATCATGTGGCATCAAAATATACATATAGCAATGCTAAATGGCATGCAACTTAACATGTCCAGCTATCAGGTACAGTCTACTCATGCTTCTTGCCTCGATCAACCTCACCTCTATCAGTACCTGAAATGATGCCCCACAACACGGGGTGAGATATACGAATATATCACAGTAAACCAGAGGTCCTTGGAGATCACTCCACCCTAAGGTTCACTTTGATGTACACATAATCATAATAGCTTAACACATTCTTATCCACAAGCATCACATGGACTTCCAAGAGAGATCCACTATGGGCTGTTTCTCTTAGGCTCTTACCACATGGAGATCCACATAGGGCTGTTTCCAAGGGAAGTCCTTTCCTCAATCTATTCCAAGAGAGATCCTCGCAGGGCTGTTTCTCTTAGGCTCTTACCACATGGAGATCCACCTAGGGCTGTTTCCAAGGGAAGTCCTTTCCTCAATCTAGGAACCTCCAAGAGGGATCCACATAGGGCTGTTCCTCTTAGGCTCTAACCACATGGAGATCCACCTAGGGCTGTTTCCAAGGGAAGTCCTTTCCTCAATCTAGGAACCTCCAAGAGGGATCCACATAGGGCTGTTCCTCTTAGGCTCTAACCACATGGAGATCCACATAGGGCTGTTTCCAAGGGAAGTCCTTTCCTCAATCTAGGAACCTCCAAGAGGGATCCACATAGGGCTGTTCCTCTTAGGCTCTAACCACATGGAGATCCACATAGGGCTGTTTCCAAGGGAAGTTCCTACCAATTATCCTCATCATAATACTATCACTCATAACCTCAATCACAATCCCCAACCCTTACCTCATTCATTATTGCTACTTCTATAACCATTCCTCAATTACTCTTAAACAATCAAACATCAACCAATAATCATCAATCAATCATAACATGTATCAATGCATGAATCAATGCATGAGCATACAATTACTATCATAATTACATATCACATATCATAAACCATTTCTCCTCAACGGAGTAAGGTGGAACACTCAATGGGATCAACCCCAAGGTCCAAAGGTTTACCTTGCTCTTTGAGCTTTCCTCAATTGCACACAACCCCAAGGGTTGGTCACTCCACTTGGTCCTCTTGCCTCAATCCTATCAACACAAGGAATACAATCAAACAATGCTAACAATGCAAGGAAATCCATAGTTCCAAGCCTAGATTTCTCCAAACATCAAAGCATACTAAAATAACACTATAAACTCATTTCTACCGATTAAATGTCATTCCTAGCATTTTTCACAATATACTCTAAGCCTCATTCTTCCTTGAACATAGCCAATCTACTCAACATTTCATAAAAACCCTAAAACACTATTCATTAACCCTAAACTCATGCAAATCTCCAAGAATCATGTGAAAGAGAGTGGAAACTTACCACCAATGATCACACAATAGAGGAATGAGTGTTCCTCAAGCTTTCATGGAGGTAGAAACTCCCAAAACCCCACACTTCTCAAAAGGGGCGAATCTTTGGGGACCAATATCTCTCTCCACAAGGACTCCCACTCAAAACCAAGCTAGGATTATGAAAGAGGGGAAGATTTAGAGTAGTTTAGGCTTTTGAATCACCCAAAACGATTGGGATTTGCTCCCACTAGGTTTTCCCTCCTTCTTCCTCTCTTCTCCCTCTCTTCTCTTCTCCTCCTTTCTGTTTGCTGTCGACGGGCAATGGGGGGGAAATGGGTTCTTCTTTGTTCTTTAGTCACTTAACATAGGTTAAGTGACTTTAAGCGGGTATTGGTTCGTCTATCTATTCAACTCCATTAATTACCAAACTTTACCCAAAAGTCTGGAATATTATTCTAGGAATATTACTATTTTTATTTTTATATTTTGGGTACTTTCGCCAGTACCCATTTGTACCCCTTAATTTTCACTGAGTACACTTTTTAACTCTAAGTGACTCAGATTCATTTAATTAAGTCTTTTACTTAATTTTACTCACTAAAATATGATTAATTATTTAATTAAAATTAATCAATTAAATGCTTAAGTTTGGGATATTATATGAGTGATGGAGAAGGCTTTAAGAGCGCGTTTGATTCAGGGTTTCTTACCAGATACCCATGCATCAGTCATTGGCATTATAAGAATATCACGTTTGGTTCAGAGTTTTTTTAAAATTTATCAAGCAAACAGAGTTGTCCATCTTTTGTCACTTCTTTGGAAAAACGGATGACAAACCCAGAGGAAAAATGTCACTCTGAATGTGGTATTGTTTAGATGACCGGCTAAATGGATAAAAGAAAACAAGGACGTGACTGAAATACCATTTTCTAACCTAACCTCAGACACAGAGAGATGTCATACGCAAGCTAGAGACCGTGATATTAGCCTTGAATTGAAGTAAAATCTCCTTCTTAGTTGCCGGGAGACCATGACAACAGACCAAAGCAAAGAATGGCACACAACAGAGCATGAGAGAGATGAATTTGACTCAAATAAAGTTCTGTAAACCAAAGTACCAGTACAATCTCTACTTCTTCTCCTTCCGAGTTCTCCGTCAAGCATCAAGAATGAAGATTCCAGAATGTCCTACGTGGCTGTGTCTCTCTGTGCGTGTGTGTTTTAATTTTTGATGATTTGGCTTTTGTGGGGCTGAAATGGGAGCATAAAAATCGGAGCTTGAAGTTGTTGGAAATAATACCTTTAACAATGCAAATCCAATTTGTTTATGTGAGTTTAAGTTACTTCAATTAAAAAGGGGTTACAAACGTAATTTTATACCACTCTCCCATCAATATTTTACCTTCAACCAAACACAAACTTACAAAACTTTAATTAATTTACCCGGTAATATTTTATCCAACCAAACAACTTTTTTTCAACTTTGCTAGCAAACATACTTTCCCACAATTTCCCTAGTAATCATATTTACCTGGTAAAAAAAAATTTGTCCTCTATCAAACACCCGCTAAGAGGTTGATATGGCTCCAGCATATATATGATTTTAAGCCAAAAAGAGAAAGAATCTTGATCAATCTTGGATAAAAAGGACTATAATTGTTATTAAATTGATAAATCCCAATCAGATATCTTGTCACTGATTTTATTATGTTTTTGTAGGAAAACAGATAAGAAAGAAGACCAAATTGGAAGCACAAGTCTGAAGCCCCGCGCTATTAGCACGGGTGTGGCGCTAGTAGCGCCAGAAGAACTTTTCAATACAGAGACTCCCACGCTACTAGCGTGGAACTAGCGCTAGTAGCGCCAACCATTCAAAACTCCCACGCTAGTAGCGTGAACTTCCAGAACTGTGAACAAAACTCCCATGCTATCAGCGCGGGATCCACGCTAGTAGCGCCAAGCTACTGATTCAAGAACAATACTCCCATGCTATTAGCGCGAAACTAGCGCTAGTAACGCGGGAGGTACGAAAAAATCTTTATTCTATCTCAGATTAAATTGAAGGAAGATTGGACCAAGATAAACAATGAAGATTCGATCAAGATTTCTAAGCAAGGCTCAAACTCTATAAATAGAGACTGAGACCCCAGAAACAAATCTATCTTTGGCAGGAGAGAATTGCGAGGATTAGAGAATTGAGAGAATTCTTGAAGACTCGCGCTTGAGATCAGGATTCCACCGGAGTTGAAGGCTGAAGACATTGAGTTTTTATTCTTCTTCTTCTTTTCTTTTTAGTTTATGAACAATTTTTATTCTTTGAATTTGTTTAAGTCAGACATGAACATGTCTGGCTAATTTCTTTTTGTAATTGGGATCATGGACCTGATGTGAATCTTTTATATTTTCTGTATTGATATTTTATAAGTTAATTAGTTAGTTTGTTTTATTCTACATGTGTTAATTTTTCCATATCCTGTTTAGAATTGACCACTCTAAATTATAGGGCTTTGAGGGTTAGAATTCACAATAGACATATTGAGATTTTAATCTAGACAAGGGTAGAATAACAATTTGTGCATGACCTAGACATAGGCTTACATAAATTGCAGACTCATAATTCATTTGCTTAATGCTTAATTCAAGAGGGATTACTAAGACATTAGAATTCTGATTGGGTTAAAGGGTTGAAATCGCTAAGACATTATGGTTCAACTATTTTATAGGAATATAATGAATTGTCTAAACAAACGAATTAATTAAATTATAAAATACAGTATAGGAATATAAGGGAGGATCGGAGATGAAGTGCATCCTGGCTACCTCCTTTTTATAAATTTTTCATCAATATTTTCTCGCGTTCTTGATCTTTTCTTGCATGCGTTCAAAATTAATTGTTATTAATTTTCTATTTTAAATTAATAACAATGTGACACTCGTTCCATTCCAAAGGCTTTATCTAGTTACTCATATTTAATATTTGAGACACGCAATAAAGAATGTTTTTATTCTTAAAATTTATTCATAACAATAAAGAAGTACATGAGTCTATCTAACTCTCGTATTGTTTGTAGACACCTATGTACTAACATATGCACCTCATGCAACATGTGAAAGTGTTTGCCTCACACTTAGTGTGGCCCAACTAGACAAAATGGTTGTGGCTCTCCTATGCTTAGTTTTTAGTATTTTCTTGGTTGGTTGTGTGTTAATTCAAGTTAAGTAGTTGGTTGCTTGTGTACCCAAAAAAAAGTAGTCGGTTGCTATGTGTTCCATCATTTTCAAAGGTTGAAGAAGTTGCACCAGAGCCAAGGAAGGCAAAACAAGATCGTTATGTAGAGATGAGAATGGGGAAGGATGAGGAGAATGACGTGCAAGAGTGTATGTTAGTGAATTAAATAACCTTGTCCTTCATTTGATTTTAAGATTAATTCTCATATGGCTTATTAATTGCATTTGCTTGGCCATGACTCAAATATGAAGAAGAAGCCAAATCACATAATGCTAAAGAGGAGGAAGGTGCTGCATTAGAGTTTGAGAAGTGGAACGGTGAATTTTCAGTTGATGGTGGTGGTACCCTTAATGAGAAATTTCCACCAAGGAAGAACTCGTAAAAAAAAGAACAAGATAATGAAGGCCAACATCAATTTCGTTGACAAGGACGGTTATTTCCAGTATCTTTGTTATTGATTTTGTATTTCCCCCCCTTTCTTTCAATATAAAATATATTACAAAGTATGAACAGATAGTTGTACAGAATAATATCATGGACAACCTTTGTTATTTTAGATATACAAAAAAATGAAAATAAAAATTTCTCATACAACAGTTGATTCTCAGCTAAGACTTGAAGGTTGGAGCCTTTATTTGTATTTTTTAAAAAATTCTGTAAAATCCAGTCCAAATTTTATGAGGAGCTTCAATATTGTCTCCCAAACAAAGGGCATCATGCAGGAAGCAACACATCACTTGATCAGCGAAAAAACAAATATATCATGGGTTGGTGCTAGGGTTTCTTGGCCTGCAACAATTACAAATTCATTGTATATTGAGAGGATAACTAAACAAAAATATATTAGAAACAATAAAGAGAAGGGGAAAAATAAAAGAGATAAAAACCAAGCAAGAAGCAATATGGTCACGGGTTAAGGCAAACATAAATAGTGGCATATGTCACATATCTTGTCCACATAAACAATTATCTATGACTTATGCCATTCCATATTTTAAATGTAGCAGCACTTATTGTATTTATTTATTCATTTATTTTTTAGTGACGGGCATAACCAAAGACACAACTCAATCATGGCATATATATTCCTTCAAATTTCAATAACTTAAAAAAGAGGCTGATGCATACTGTAGCATGACTATAATAAACAGTTATTCTTGTGCTTCCTTTTATATGCAATGAGTCAGAAACAATTAGGAGGCAAGAATGGTAGGACCAATAGTATAAGAAAGAAATGCTGAGATACATGCATTGCAGGATTCTAGGCAGGACAAAATTGCAAACCACAACTCATGTTCTGATCGAGATTACTTTAATTGAAGATCAATACTGATATTTACATTGCAGATTCAATATGCAGTAAACTTGTCCTTCCATTATATGGAAACATGGTGATATGGAAAGTTAAAAAAATAAAAATAAAAATAAAGAAAAGGTTGTAGTACCTTTTTCAAATATTTCTTGTGAAGTTTCAGTGCCGCAATACAAGCTTTTTTGGCATCTAGATTTCCATTTACGTCATTCAATATCTGAGAAAAATCAAATCAGAGGGCCAAAGAAGGAAGTTAATGGATATGAAAAAGGTAAGTTAAATTTGTTAAAGAATACATATAACAAGTATTAACACAACTTCTAGCAAGAAATAAATGAAGTAATCTAATATAGATTGTTCCTTCCAATTTAGTGCAAACTGAAACCCCAGAAGTTACATGACTAACCTTTACAACATCATCCAGCCCTCGTGCTTGCTGGAGTAGTGTTGCACTTTTTTCTTTTAACACACTGGCAACAAGGAAAATAGATATGGGAAGAGGAGGAGCTTCTGCATTCTTTGCTCCATTTTTCATATTTTCTCTCTCAAACTTCCCATAATGACGTATTGACTTTAATCTTCGTTCAGATTTTTCAGAATTTTCTTCAGCTTCTTCATACAACCAGAACAAGTCAGGATCATATTCCAGAGCCCACATCATCTGTCAAATACTTCAAGTAATTAGTTATCCCAATCACCATAAACTCTTTTCATGGACACAAGCACACACACAATATTAACACAATGATACAACATAAAACTAACTAGATCTATCATCAAAGATTTCAACCAACAATTTCTAACAGAAAATAATGTAAACACCGAGAAAAAGACATGGGTTGTGATATCGAACAAATTGGAAATTACATTCATTTTGAGTGCATTTTTTTTATAAGCATAAAGTGACTCAAATGTTTCTTTGTTCAAGAAATGTAACAGAATACATCAGCACAAAAGAAGCTAAACAAACCTCCCAAAGGTACAATGAATCGCAAAAGGAGAATTCTCGACGAAACAGAACCATTAGCATCCGAAAAGCAAACAGATAGTCACCTCCACCAAGATGCTCTGCGCTCCAACATTAACAGACAACTCATTGTTACTTTCCATTTCTCAAACATCAATTGAGAATAGTGGAAACAAACACATAAAAATATAATTCATGGAGGAAAGTATTTAACACCTTTGAAATGACAATGTAACAGTTATCATAATGAAAGATGAATTGATGAATGAAACCGTCAACTGACTTAAGTATAACTGAATACCAAGGAATAAGAAATTTTCTCCTACTATTTTCTCCCATCATCATTTCTTGAAATAATCACACAAAAACAACCCGAGCAATTCCTTGTGCACAAGATTCCCTGACTTGCTAGGGAAGGAATGACTATATGCAGCCTTACCCATGCATTTTTTGTAAAGAGACTGTTTCTTAGACTCAAAATTGTAATCACAAGGAGCAACCTTACGCTGCTCCAAGATTTTCCCTCAATCACACAAAAACAACATTGTGCCTTGCTTGAACATAAATAAAAACAAAGAAGGATGGACGCAAGGAAATACCTAAATGTTGATGAAGTTTTGGATCAATTACTTGAGTAATTGAAGCCAAATTACTTAGTTGAGTCTCCACCCCAACAGAGCTATCAGTACATCTGAAATTTCCTCGCTTTAAAATTTAAAAAAAACACACCATAAGAAATGGAGATGAAGTCAAATGCAGTGAAAATTGTAGCTATAAAGAATAATACATTTTGCTTTTCAGCTCCCTTATTATTACATATTGAAATACATTATAGAATTTCGATTTTCATATTTGCAAAAACTTGAGTTCAACTATGATTTCATACACGGAAATTCCATCTTTCGAATTTGGCTTATAGGGGGAAAAAAGGGAAAGGCACATTGACTTAGTTTTGTAGCAGTAGAGTAGAGATTAGAGTTTACCAGTCTACGCATCAGACGCTCAAAGCACCAAAATGCATCAGCTTCATCATTGAAAAGTATAATCATGGGAGAGCATAGGTCACTCATTCCTAAAAATTGTATAATGATAAACCGAAAGCTAACATTAGTTGCTAATGATGGTTACATTAAGTTTCTTACAAAATTGCAAGTACATCAGAAGTAAAACAAATTGTTGAGATATATAAAACCATTAATGTAGCCTCACCCAAAAGCTTAAGCTTTTGTGTTGAATTGGTTCTTTACATGGTATCAGAGCCTCGCCGCCCCCCATTTTCTCTTGTGGCGTTTCTTAGCACAGGTAGGCTGGGCCTGTTGCATTGTCCACTCTTCAAGCCCAATGAGCTCTCGTGTGAGGGGACGTGTTGAGATATATAGTCCCACATTGGTTGTATGTGCAACTAATGTGGAGTTTATAAGACCTTGGGCACTCCCACCCTTTGAGCTTGCTTTTGGGGTGGTGTATCTCAAGGTTCTTTACACAAATTTATACAAAAAAATCTTGACCTGTTAGGTGTAGGCTAAGGAATAATTTTATATCTATAACTTACTCTATAAGCAAGTGCTCATTCAAGATGAAGTGTGGACAATCTACAAACTCACTTTACCTTGTGCTGAAATTTAATTTAATAATGATGAATTGGAGTGGCAAGGATTATACTTTTTTTTTTATTTGGTCATAAAGGTTTTGATACTATCTCAAAGACTAACTCGTTAAAGTTTAAGCTGTCAGGTGGAGGCTGAGGAATGGTTTATATCTGTAATATGGTTAATGAAAAATAATTTAGAGGGTTTAATTATCAAGTATTGACTGACCACTTAAAAAATTTGACTAAATAACTAATAAAAATGAAGGAACTCTTTTGTTAGTTCAAAAACCCATTGTACTTGAACAAAACAAACTACCACAACCATAAATTATCAAATAAAAAAATGCTCTAAGAATATTGTCTTTCCTTTGGGTACCAGGGGGTATTGAGGTCATGGAATTATCACATGCATTAAGGTAAGATATCACAACTAGAATCAATAGGAGCATCTAAATATAGTATTGATCAATGTCCAAAAGAGGCAAAATAATTAAGATTAAAATGGATCACTTATTTAAAGACCCACCTTGACCATAGCCAACATCTGTATCTATCCGAGCATAAACAGCAAGAATATCCCATAGTTTTGATAAGTTCTCTTTCTTCTCATAAAAAACCAGTGTCCTATCAGTACGAATCACGTCAAGACCTGAAATATATGTTTGTGCAAGAAAAAGGATCATTCACCATGTGAATTATTTTATGGTGATAGGGTTTTACCTTTTTACACGAGAAAACTTTCAAAAACAATGGTGTCAGTACATTCTTTACTCCATTTCAAGAAATCAAAGTTAGAGACAACTGAGTCATGCCAAACAGTTGTAGCACAGTAGCACAAAATCAGTTTGAATTTGGACAACAATGCATTTCGAACAATAACATGGCACATGGAAATATCACTAGAAATTACATAAGGAAACCATGCAACATGGACAATGTGTGTTAAATATATGCTACAATGGAGTGCTTAAACTATTCCATTGAGAATACAATATCTGAAAAACAATGCATAAGCAGTAAACTATAGATCATAGAAGGCTTGAAAATTACAATTGAAGGTTACTGAAGTGTGTATTGTGTTCACCTCGATAAAAATTTAAACTAGGTAGGGCTAGGTGGGGGGATTCACAATTTTAAAAAGATTGATTCTCTACATCAGTGTGCTCTAATATGGAAAGTAAATTTAATAACTATGTTGCAGTTATACAAGTTAATAATTGGATTTATGAAGAAAGGAATTGCAAGGAAAGGTTCCACCTAAAACTCTTAGATTATATATGGCTTAAAATTAATAAATAACATTTAATTGGAGAAATATATTACAGTGCTTTGAGAACCAAAGATGTTCACAGACCTATTTGATGGAGAGTTAACATCCACTGGATTACTTTCTTGTCTGTCACTTTTTTTAAGTTATTTGCAGCCCCCATACCATTGGTGCCACCCATATTATTATCTTGAGGAGGTACGATCACTCCATTGTCTGGATTATTTTCTAATAGAACCAATGGATCTTGAATCGATAAACCATCATCAGTAATTACGGGTGCGGTGATAAATCTACCACTTCCCACAAGAGGAAACAATTGGCGGCATTCTTCCTTCCATGTAGCATATTGCTCCCTGACAATATATATTTAAAGTTATTCAACTAATGATCTAATTATATTTAGAATTCAAAACACAGTAGTCTTAACTGATAAAATTATCAGGAAATGTCCCTGTCTAATGGAGGTGGAAGCAATTCTTGCTATATTTTTCAATGCATATCAAGCCTGTAGTGAGATATTATAGCCATTCCATTTTCATTTTAAAGGATGACACAAGCCTTAGAGATTGTAGTGACTTTTTTAAAAGCTCTAGGATGTAAAATGTGATGTCAATGACGGGATTATGAAGCAGAAAATGATTACCTTCGGCGCTGCCGTAACTCATCTCTTTCCTCATATGTACTTTTGGGATCATAGCAACCAAGTAGAAATTCCCAAACTTCTCCTCTAATTGATGGATGGATTCCCTGGTTAGAAGAATTCAATAAAGTGAGACAAAATATTCTTGGGATTCCCTGCTTCACACTGTCTTGACTGTAGCAAGCTATATTTTCAGCTTCTGCACAAAAACCCTTGAAAGGTCTTATAAAAAAATCTAAATGTGTAAAGAACCAATTCAACCCAAAAGCTTAAGTTGTTGGGTGAGGTTATATTAATAGTTTTATATATCTCTAATACGTCCCCTCATACGAGAGCCACTGGGCTTGAAGGGTGAACAATACACAGAAAGAAATTCCACTTGAAAGAAAGTGGGGGCGGTGAGAATCGAACCCGGTACACCGAGGCTCTGATACCATATAAAGAACCATTTCAACCCAAAACCTTAAGGTGTTGGGTAAGGGCCTTTTTAATAGTTTATATTATTCTCTAACAATATGCATTGCAATGTCTACCATGGTAATAGGAGCTCATGTTGTAGAGAGAACCAAAAGAGACCAAGAAACAAAGGACCAGTTAAGTTCCGAGCATTAATATTACAAGATAGATATCAGTTGTTTTATTGACAAGCTAAAGTTTCCTAATGGACCTAATTACCATGTAAATGAAGTACGAGAGAATAAATTTCATATCTTCATATGTATTAAAGCAGCATTTTAACTGCAAAAATTGCAATTACCCCATGGTGGATTCGGCTTAGAGTCTTGCCTATATCCAGATACCCTTCTGGAGAAAATGCAGCGTGCCACTTTCTTTCACTTAGTGTTTTACCAGCCTGGACCACATAACGACAAGAATTTCAAATTTAAAGCACATATTATTAGATTGAAAATCAAAATACATCTGAATATTCTCAGTTGAAGGCATATGATTGTTGTATTAAGGTGTAGACCATCTAACTAATATATGTGATTTAGTTTTTACATTTTCACAAGATAAAAACCTGACGAGCAATTCAGTATTAGATACTTGTCATGATCCATCATAAAACACCAAGTGAAATTTTGTCCATACTCAGTTTCCCTTCTCTTATAAGTGAATAACTTATACAACAAAATAATCAGTCAATTAATAAACAGCTGATATGCTGCATTATTTAATCCAGTAACAGTGTAGTAGAAATCTGAATACAATGATTGTTTCACTTCATTAAGTTCAACTTGATAATTTAACTCAGTTACGTAACCTGCATTCAAATTTGCAGGTAAATGATGTGGCAATTTCTACACAGGGTTTCATTGATGAAACGTGAAATTCAATGGCATCAATTAATTCAAAATTCATAACAAGCCAAAGATAACTACCAAACTATCCTATAAGCAACAATAATCAAAACCTTTCTTTTCCTTCTGATAAAACACCATCATAACAACCATTTTTCACCATTCTGTAAAGGTCGTTGTCCATTTAACATATTTATGAACAAGTTTAAAGTTTCAATAATTAGAAATCACAAGTTTAATTATCTCCTAAATGAACCAAAGCTACTTGCGGTTAAGTAACTACTCAAACTTAATAACAAGGCTTAGAAATTACACCTTAGCAATCAACATTCAATAAACAGAAACAAAACATAACATTCTTAAATGATCAATGCATTGAACCAAATCTAAACTAATATTCAAATGCATTGCTCATATATATAGGGCAAAAAAAAAACTGACCTTAATCCTAAATTTAGATTTGGGGACATCGGTGCACTCAGGGCGGATTTCATAGAAAGAATCAGCAGGAGCTCCAGGATCTCTCCACATCCCAAAAAATCAAAAGAATTCTTAAGGAAACAAAAAATTGCAAATTTAAAAAGCAATGATTTTTATATGAATATCCTTGCCAGCACCCAGGAGCTGGACCCCTTTGAAATGATAAAGCAAATCCAGAAAAAAAACAACAAAATTCCTCAGAATCTCTGGTGAAGAATTCAAAGGGGATCCAACCAAGGTTCAACAGGTAAGACCAAGCTCCAAATCCAAACAAAACCAAAACCAAAACAAACAAAAAAACCCAAAAAAATGTTTGTTTTTTTTTTCTTTTGGGTATTTTTTTAGTTTATTTAGAATTTATGGTTTTGTGGGGTTATGAATGGTGATTGTGTTGTGAGGAAGGAAAGTCCTGATACCGTGTCAAAAATGATTCACAACCTCACGAACCCCCAACACTTGCCCGTTTAATCCGTATATATATTTACACAAACTCATTTATTTTATTTATTTTTTTGTTTTTCTCTCTCTTGAAATTTCCATTTTATTTTTTGTGTGATGTACGTACCAGAGGAGGCTAAACTTTGGTTATGGCTAAATTGAAGTTTCTTACCAGAGGAGGCTTTTTCGCTTTACTTATTTAAGCGAAATGACCTTGTTTTGCGAGTTGGAAGAATGGAAGTGGATAATAATAAACATAAATAGGTGTATGATTGGTTTAACTTTTAGAGACAGAACGCATTAGGTTACATATATGGAAAGAGACCAACCAAGCAGAGTTGGTGTGGAATTGGTTTTGTGCTGGCTTAACATTTTACGCGGGAACAAAATGTTCAATCGAGCCAAGTATATGCGAAATCTTTTTAGAGATTCTGGTTTAAATTCCGTGTTCTAAAAGTATCAAATCTATGACACGTGACACGTGAGTTATATCGATTATGATTGTATTTAATTTCCACAGAATCCCTTATAGCATTTATTTTAGTTAGGGGTGATATTTATCAACAAGATTCGCGTATACTGTACGAGAAATTTGTGTTCGCGTTCATTCATTTTTAAATTCATGTTATATTTATGTTAGCCATACTTCTGTCGTGTTGTATGTCAATCTACAAATATAAAATTAATTCATGTTATATGTTATTTGTTTTTCATATCAACTTGCGTAATAAACTATACATTTTGATATTAATAAGTTGGGTAATATTTTTTTTGTGTAGTATAAGAGAAGTAATATCTCTTACTCAAACAATAAATAGAAGAGAGAAAAAAGTTGGAGGTGAGAGAAAAAAATTCTTGTGAAACTCATTTGAAAAATATAAGTGTAGAAGATAATACTTCTCTTATCTAACATAAGAAAAATATTACCCTAATAAGTTATTTGTGTTGTATTATGTCAATTCGCATAATAAGTTACATATTTTGAGATTAATAGATTATTTGTATTTGTGTCAATCTGCAAAATAAACGAATCATATTCGTGTTAAAAGTTTTATCTCATTTTTAAGTTTGTATCATATTTATACTTGTATAAAATTTGTGTTGTGACAAGTTAACCCTACTTTTAATGTTGCAATTAATAGTGTATTGATAGGGAAAACCAATAATGATCAGACATAATTGGCTTCATGCTTGTAATGTAATCCCGTTAATGTTTTTATGCTGGCCCCTGTATGAATAATGAAGAGAATTTTGGGTACAAAATGTATACAGATACTTTTTTTTTTTTACACTGATTATTATCTCATAAAAGTTAGCTTTATCTGTTTAATCATTGCGTCTTTGAACATTAACAAAATGAAAACCCCAGCAGCTCCCTCGTATCAACCCCACTCATTTAGATAAAGAAAATCAGAAACCAAAATACAATCAAGTAGCAAAAGTTGCAATCTTCATCTTGAGAAAAGTGCAATCTTCTTCTTGAAAAAAATATGTGTCATTTTAAATGATGTAAAGTTATATCATTTTAAATGAGAAAAAGAGATAGATCATGAGGGGAGAAAATGGAAAAAAAAAATAAAGATATAGATCTCACCTCTTTGTGAGAGTAAAAAGACACAAGTTGTATCATTTAAAAGAACAAATAATTTTCCCCATTTTTGTTAGATTTGAAATGTGAATAGCAAAGTGAGGCAAAAAATGGGGGAGGAAGAAAATAGTTACAAATGAAAATAATAAAATTGGTAGGCAGAGCTAGGAATACAAGTCAAGAGAAGCATTGGAGAATATCACCAATTAATTGAAGTTATTTCGAATTGATATGTAGTTGTGTTAAAAATTTAGTAGAGAATAAATTGCCATTCTTATAGTCCTACCTTGTTTGACCAGATTAACTGATTAATTAATAAATCGGTAGAGAAATTTAATATATATATATATATATATATATATATATATATATATATATATATATATATAGGCAGGATTTCTTGATACTTTATTAGAGAGCCGTTAGATAAAAAAAGATCAATGGTGTCACATGTTTACAAATCAGAGTCGTTAATCTTTTTTGATCTAATGACTCTCAAATGAGATGTCAAATTTTAAATTTGACAATGATGTTAAAGAGTCCTACCTCATGTGTATATATATATATATATATATATATATATATATATATATATATATATATAAGAGAAGGGAAACTAATATAAATAAAGAAAACGAAGTTAGTTATTATCATGGGGAACTTTTTTTAAGTTAAATTATAATTTTGTCCTTCATATGTAATATTTATTTTTAATTTTTTCTCTATCAAAAAGTTTTAAATTTAGTTCTTACATGTATATTCCTTTTTTTTTTGGGTAGACATATTCCTTTTTAATTTAGTCTTTATAAACATTTAAATCAAAGTTATAATACAGTAAAATGTAAGGGTCAAATTTTCAATTTATTCTTAATGAATGACACATTTGGTTAGCCAAAAATGTTCAGGATTCAGTTTCAGATTCGATTTCTGGAGAACGAATTCTAATTCTTGATTAGTCACTGTACTTCTGATTTAATACACTAGTCTCTTAATTTTGTGGTATAATAAATTTTTTTAATCTTTGTCCTTACATTAATATTTTTTTTATCAAGATAACTAACAAATCCAGATCTTGTTGGGTCTCTGGCCCATGATCGACCGGATCAAAGTGATGATGCTTTAATATTTTGTTAAAAGATGCTTAAACGCTGAAGAAACTCAGCACTACCGTTGAAGAAGAATACTATCTTGTAGATTAGGATTCTCTATCCTCTTTACATAGAGAAATGCTTCTTGAGGTACTTGCCATCATTTAGAGGATGAAATTCTCTGGTTACTGAGCCAAAGTGAATTTTGTAATCCTATCATTCATAGTGCAATTTTTTCTAGACGTGGTCCTGATGTTTTTATTCTTCACATCGAAGATATTTTTCACGTTAAAAATTTTGGTTTTCTCTCTTCCTCTGAATCCTAAGTAAGGCTTGTTTTACTGTTACTGTTCACTGTCGCTTCCACATGCGACTTAAAGAAGCTGGGCTAATCAAATCCTAAGCCAGGCTCAGAATTGCCCGGCTCCATGACACAACATACCTAATCAGACAAAAAAAATGATTAATTTGTCAAAATCAAATAACATTTTTTGAAAACATTTTAAATGCTCAAAGTTTTTTTTTTAACAAGGGAAAAGAAAGTTAACAGTTAACCAGTCTGAGTATAGAAACCTCTATAGAATCCTGTTGAACCAAGACCCAACATCCTACAGGGGGATTGTCGAACACAATGGTGTTCCAATCTTGAGAGAGAGACTCATTGGCTAGCCAATCCGGAACGAAATTACACTCCCTATGAACATGAGAGATATGCACTGTCCAGTGGCGTTTGGTAAAGGACTGGATTCTATCCACCAAGTTGAAGACAGGCTTGTTAGGATTACACCCATTGAGCAGCAGAGTAACCAACGTTAAAGAATCAACCTCGAGCCATACCATCCTATATTCTTTTTTCCAGGCCAAGTCCAGACTAATATAGACTCTCCAAAGTTCAGCCTAAAGAGAATTCCCTCTGCCAAGAAACTTGCCAAAGTGAACTAAATTGGATGATGTTCAAAGTTAAAACAACACTGGTCGGATTGGATTGGGTTAAAAAAAAGAAAGTTAAAACTATTTAATTAGCCTCCGGTTTGTAAAAAAAAAAGTTCAGTTAATCCAAAGTGAACTAAATTGACCAAAATTGAAATGGTATTTGTATCATTGAATTCGATTTTTTTTGTTTCAGCAAGCATAGTCAAAATCTACTTCTCTAGGGAAAAAATTTGTTGAATTTCTTTTTTCTTTTTTCAAATTTATCGAAACTGAGAGTGTAAATTTTACGAGAGAGGGGGGGGGGGGGGGGGGGGGGGGGGGGGGGGGGGGGGGGTTGAAGGATATCTTAGATTTATGCGGAAGCGATTTAGGACCTAGTACATTGGTATGCTTACCGAATCATCCTTGTTTCACAATTACCTCTCGGTGCGCAGGTGTCGTGTAGAATCTTCCCTTGTAGGATTCCTCTTCACGAACAGCTCACCTTAGCGCCGCAGCACGAACAACCTCCTTGAAGCTAGACTGTGGCAGATCTTCCAGACTATCTCTCGAGGAGGATGAGATGGTTGTGTGGGCAACCGTTCAGATGATGAACGTCTGCCTCTTGGGGTTTGTTTCTGATGATCTATTCACCTTGGAGGCACAAGAGGAGAAAACTATGAATATATACACTTAGGTCTTAGACATAACTCAACCCTAAGTCTCATGGGCTCAAGTTTCACTGAAGCCCAATAGGACTTTAGTGACCAAAAGAGCATATATCCAACAATCTCCCACTTGCTCTTTAAGATACAAACTTGAGTTCGTAAACCCAAGATCATGTAGCCCATAAGCTATCATCATCTGATAATATACCCCATCCCTTGTCTCGAGCTAGCCTGGGGACCTACCATTTGTCATTGATCAAGGCTCCTGATAATCAACGAATGATTATCTAATTCGGTGCTACTCCACTAAAAGCCCGAACTTGAACTCCAAGATTAACAACACTTATAACATGAATA